GCCTCCAGGTCTTCTTTCAGCGTCTCGATTTCCTGGCGCTGAGCTTCGCATTTGTCCTCGAGGGACTTAGTGGATGCAAGAGGAGCCTTGCTCGTCTCCACGAAGCAGGGGAGCGCCGCGGCCAGGAACTGCGAAAGAACATGAAAAACAAATAAGATTAGATGAACCAAATTCAAGAGAAGCATGATGATAAGAGAGTTTAAAGATAAGAAGATTACCCGAGAGAGGCACAGAACGGCGTAGTTCGAGCGCTCATAGAGATTCCCCTCGACGCGCTCCTTGTCGACGTCGGGGATAGTCGAGTTGAGGTACTGGGCCACCTGATAGGGCTCAGGGTGATTCCAGAGTCGAGACGGCATTTTGACCGTCACGTCTTGGACAGTGATCGGGGCTTTGGCGGGCTTCTCGACCGCCTTCCCTTTCCCTTTCTCGACCTTGCGGCGCTTCAGGTCGTCTGGGATCAGGACGACGGCCCGGTCATCTTGAACCCGCTTACGGGAGCTAGAGCCCGATGGTTTGTTCTGGGCGGCACCAGGGTTCTCGACCCTGGACTTCTTCGCAGCAGTCGACTCAACTGCCGCACCAGCTGGACGGGAAGGAGGTGGAGCAGAGCCACCCACCGGCTTCTCGACCGGTTGTTTCTTGAGCTCGAAACGTTTAAGTGCCTTGACTAAAATAACAGAGAAGAAGTTAGTATATGAAGAACACTTAAATCACGATTCGAATGATCAAAGTTTACAAACAAGTTACACGGAGGAAGTATGTTAAGAAGCTTACGGGGGTCATCGAGACGAGGAAGGTCCTCGTAGATGACGATGCGAGCATGATTGACCAATTCACGGTCCTTTATTAACTGACGAGCACTATACGTATGCTTATTGAGCTCTGCCAGCAGAGTAGCGAACTCGTCAGAGTGGGGCCGTTTATTCTGTTTCACCTTCGAGGTGATCCATTTATTCACAAAGGGATACGTCCAGGAGCGGGTCGAATGAAAACAACTTCAACTTCCACTCGGTGACATTTGAGGAGAGATCGTCAAGAAAGGTGACGCCGGCCATAGCAGTAGAAGAAAAATTCGAGCGAAAAGAATTTGAGTATTATTCGGGAGACGACTATAAAGGCTATCATAATACGGATACCATTCGGAGAAAATTGGTTTATGGGGATATTATACATGTTACTTATTAGCAAAAGCTCGTCTTGGATAGGGAAGCGAAGGCCGAAGACGACTTGGTCTACAAAAAACGTATGGCAACCAGGAGGAGGATGAGCGAAATCGTCATTAGGACCTGGGGCGACTAACTCCCAGTCGGAAGGAAGCCCGCTAAACTTCCTGAAGCCCTCGACCTCGGCTGCAGAGGCATAACAAAAAGGATTTAAAACAGCTAACCTAGCTAAGGGACGAGCTATTGATACAACATTTTGAGAATTAAGAAGTGGAACAATTAGTGGTACAGATACAGGGCTGGTTCTATAAACAGGGATGTCTAATAACCTAAGAGGAATACCTCGAGGAATAAGATCAAGACGAGGAGGATTTCCTCGAGAAGGACTCTTAACGATGTCGACTAAACCGCCCTCCAAGAGCGCTTGGTCATGCTGCTCCCAGTCAACAGAAGAAGCAGTGGCGAGAGGAGAAGAAGAACGGGAAGGCAGCGAAACCATCCTATAACCGGTCACCTCGACGGAGTCAGAGCTAGAGCCCTCGTCAACTAGATGGGTATAGTTGTTGATCTGTTGACCGAGGGAGCCGGATAGAGGGGACGAGTCGGAAGCTAAGGAAAGAAAAAGGAGGAGAAGGTCGAAGTTAGTAAAGTCACGAGTACGGGCCTACAAGATCGAATCAGGACGACTCACAATAATCAACAGAGGGAGAAAGAACAAAGAAGGGGCAATCGCTATCGGTATCTCGACCTAAATAAACTAGTAAGTCGACCTTAGTCGACTCGAAAAGAGAAAACTGAAGAAAGAAGGCCACTAAGTCGACAATAGCCGACTTAGCGACAGGTGACAGTCGACTGCTCAACGGCAGCCGAGGACTGGCAAAAAACAATAAGTTGTAACAAAATACACGCGTAAAAAGATCTAAGCGCGAAATCCATAAGAAATCCATGAAGAATATGAAGAACATACATGAACTCCGAAAAGTTCCGGGAGTTTAGAAAAATTTGAAAGAGGAAAAAACCAACAAAAATACGAAAAGTAAAAGAGAGAAACGAGACTTACACATGATGCTTGGGCGAGTTCGGAAGAGACGTTAAGTTGCCGGAAAGAGAGATAGCCGGAGAAGCTGGAGACCAAAGAGCGCCGGAGAGTTGGAAGCAGTTAGAAATTTGAGAAATCGAAAGTGTGAAAAGCCATAAGAGGCCCACTCGTAATGTATTTATACATGGGGGCAATAGATGCGGACCGTTGGATCGATAGTAGAACCAACGATCCTGATGAAGCGCAGAATTCGAGGAGTCGGCGATGGAGGTGACGCGCGTCACTTTAGGGTTTCGGAATTTGAAATTTGAAACGAGTTTGTCAGAGTGTCAGACTTATCCGAAAAGGCAATCATGAGTATGAGGTGCGCCCAATTGATTGACGAGACGAGTTACCAAAAGGGCCAACACGAGCAAGACTAGTAGGAAAGCGACACAACTATACTTCACCAAATTTACTCTTAAGCAGTCGACTGCTTAGAGTAATTTTTGGGGGGGACTAGATGATAGAGCCATATAAGGGTAATCCGGTCTAGAGGCTCCTTACCCGACCGGTGAACCGTTCGAACAACTCGAATGTCGACATGACTACGTCGACATGTTCAAATCGACTTCCCTAAAGTCGATTCTATAAAGAGCGATCAAGAAGAGGCAGGAATCGGCCTAGTCGACTCTCGGAAGTCGACCTTAGCCTATCGACTTTCTCTAGTCGATCTCAATAGCAGGAGAACAGCAAAAGCATAACTCCCGAGCATCCAGATACTCTAAGTCGACTCTCAGAAGTCGACTTCGCTAAGACGATTCTCTGAAGACAATTTCCACTCAAAAGAACGATAAAGCGTAGCCTCCGGATACTCATATGATCATGAGTCGACCTCCCAGTGCTCGAGGTCGACTTCTTGCGCCTCAAGGCCGAGAACATGGTGACGATTCATCATACTTGCAGCATATTCGAAGTTCCACATTACAAAAGATGAGAAGGAATCTTGTGATGACTCAGCATCAGGGGAAGACGAATCGACCAGGGCATTTTGGACCTTCTAGGTCCACCGACTTGGGCATTTTGGACACTTCAAGTAAGTATTCCCTCCTATATAAAGGAGATGAGGTATCCCCAAAACCCTAACTCTCATTCATTCCTACTCTCCCCCATAGCTGCTGCGCAGCATCTCTTCATCACTCTCATACTGACTTGAGCGTCGGAGACTCTACGCCGGAAACACCTCCGGCGTTGAGTTTTTGCAGGAATCTCGCGGTCTAGCGACGGTTGGGAAGCGGTTCAAGCAGATCTGAGCTCACAACAACCGGTTTACTCCAGATCTGGAAGTAGACCCATCATCCTCAAACTCTTAAAAAATCTATAAACAAAAAAAAAAGAGATTTTATTTATTTATAATTTAACTTCAACATCTATAATTTATGGGCAATGGTACAAGTAATTTTTTTCTTTCATGACAGCACCGGGGTACAAAAATAAGGTTTTTTTGTTAAAAAATGATTTAAATTTAACTTGTGCAGCACATTTCATAGCGTTTTTGTTAATAAAAACTTATCAAATAAACATTATTTTTAATTATTAATATATTGTAAATATTTTTTATATTTTTATAGTATTTTCTTATATGTATATATATATATATATTGACTTAAAAAATGAGGGGGACCCATGGACCCCTCTGGGCCCAATACACCTCCGCCATTGGGCCTGGTACATGGTAAGATATTGGAGTGCCCCCACAATCTGTCTGTATAAAGTAGGATTTGACATGAAATTGCCATGGTGTTTGGATAGAGCTAGAGATGATATCATAGGTGAGTTGACTCCTTTTCCCTCTGCATCCCAGCTCTAGATAGAAGGTCAAGAATGTAGGAAGTCTGATTAAGATACATACAGCCTGATTCATAGAAGACTTCTACACCAAGAAAATAGTGTAATTGACCCATATCCTTAAAAGAGAAGTGAAGCTGCAGCTTGTGAATTAAAGATGAGATAAGATCAGAAGAGCTGCCAGTGATAATCACATCATCTACATAGGCCATAACAAAGAGGCTTGAAGATCCCTCATGATGAAAAAATAGAGATGAGTCAGCTTTAGATGCAACAAACACCATAGACATTAGGACAGAAGAAAACTTGTGAGACCAAGCTCTAGAGGCTTGCTTCAACCCATAGATTGACTTCTTCAATTTGCACACAAGGGGTATAGTACATTGTACCTCAAAACCAAGGGGTTGTTGCATATAAATTTCTGTGTCTATATCCCCATACAAGAAGGCATTATCCACATCAACTTGTCTGATGTGCCATCCCTTACTGAGTGCCAAAGAGAGTAGGATTCTGATTGTACTTGGTTTGACTACTGAACTAAAGGTTTCAGTATAATCCAAGCCTGAAAACTGAGTGTAACCCTTGGCAACAAGCCTTGCCTTGTGCCTTGAGAATGTCCCATCAACATTCTTTTTCAATTTGTAAACCCACTTACATCCAACTAAGGTTTTACCTTGTGGAAGAGGAGTGAGCATCCATGTGTTGTTTTTGAGTAGTGTTCCATATTCTGAATCCATAGCCTTTTTTCAATGTGGATTTGAGAGAGCTTCAAGAAGACTGGTTGGCTCTGAAGAATTGGAGATCATGTAGGTCTTAGGTTTATATATGCCAACTTTAGATCTTGTTGTCATTTGATGTATATTTGTGGGACCTGCAAGAGATTCACTTATAACCACAGGTTGAGCATCATCAGTGTTTTCAATGGATTCAGTACTAACATCATGCTCAATAGGTAAATCAATGAATATATGTCCGTCATTAAGGTTAATAGGTGCAGAAGAGGATGAAGAAGAGGAACTGGAGTGAGGTGTAGGAACTGAGTGAGATGGTGAATGTGGTAAGTTGTTTTGCTGGGGTGGTGGTGGGTTTACATGAGGTAAGGAGATGGATGGAGTTAAAGGTGGAGAATGATGTAAAGTATTGACAGGTTGTGGAAGGTTTTCTGGAGATGAACCAAGTTGGTTCTTGTAGGGAAAGCTGCCTTCATAAAAAATGACATGTCTTGTAAGGATAATCCTTTTGTTGGGTAAGAGCACCTTGAAACCTTTATATCCTGGGCTGTAACCAATAAATGTGGATGGTAAACTTTTTGGTTAAAGTTTGTGGCTGTTATATGGCTTCATTAAAGGGAAACAAAGGCAACCAAATGATTTAAGAGTAGAGTAGTCTGGTTTTTCTTTTGTTAAAGATTCTAAAGGGGACAGAAAGTGTAATGGTCTTTGAGGTATTCTGTTAAGCAAAAATGTCCCAGTTGAGAAGGCTTCATCCTAGTAAGTTAAGGGTAAGTTTGATTGTGTGAGGAGAGAAAGACCAGTTAGAACAAAGGACCTATGCTTTCTCTCAGCAAGGCCATTTTTTTCTGGTGTGTAAGGGCATGATAGCCTGTGAGAGATACCAGATGATGATAAAATGTCCTTGAGAGCTAAGAATTCCCCACCACCATCACTTTGAAAGGATTTAATGGTGGTTTTAAATTGGTTCTCAACAAGGGCCTTAAAGTGAGCGAATGCTTCTTTAGTGTCTGATTTTTGTTTCAATAGATACAACCAAGTGAACCTAGTTGAATCATCAATAAAGCTTACACAGTACATGTAACCTTTGTGGGATAAAACAGGTGAGGGACCCCAAAGGTCTGAGTGGATCAGATCAAAGGGTTTGTAAGTATGAGAATCAGATATGGGAAATGAAAGCTTATGAAATTTGGACTGCATACAAGTGGAACATAAGGAACTTCTCTTACTATCAACAAACTGAATGTTACAATGTTGGAGAGCTTTTCTATCAATGTCAAATGATAGGTGTCCTAATTTAGAATTTCAAGTATCTAGACTTAGAAGTTTTCTTGTCTCAATGACATTACAACTTAATTGAAAAGAACTGAAATGAGAAGTTGGAGAAGAACATGAGCTTTACTTGAAAGGTTGAGAGCATTTCTTGAACTTCTGAAGATGAAACTTGTATAGACCATTCCCAAGGCTCCCTTCCAGAAGCACTTCCTTTGATTTGAGATCCTTCACAAGACAGTAACTAGGATAAAGCTCAAAAAACACACCATTATCTCTGGAAAACTAAGCAACACTTACAAGGTTTTTGTTTAAAGTAGGAACATGAAGAAGGTTGTTAAGGTGTAGGCTGTGTTTAGAGCAATCAGAGGGACATTTAATCAAAGCTTTACCATAGTGAGCAATTGTCATACCTGAACCATTTACAACTTGAATCCTCTCTCCACCATCATAGTCAGATGCTAAGTTGAGGTTACCAAGGTCATAAGTGAGGTGGTTGGTTGAGCCTGAGTCAGGATACCAGCTTATGTCTTGTGTTCCCTCTGAAACATTGTCATTGTGAGCACTGTAGTTTGCAGAGAATGAACCACCTTCTCCATAGTTTGAGCCTTGAAAGTTTCCACTGCTATTGCTTTGAGTTCTAGGAACAAACTCAGAATCAAATCTATAATATCACTTCTCAGCTGTGTGGTTATTGTAACCACAGATTTGGCATCTAGCTTTGTTGCCAAAAGATCTTCCAACTCTTCCTCCGAAGTTGTTGTTTCTGCCTTGACCTCGGCCTCTATTTGCTTGGAATTGATTGCTAGTTCTTCCTCCTCGGTTAGACATGAAGTGGTCGTGCTATCGTAGGCACCCAAATTAACCTTGCTTAAAAATATGTAGTAGTGTGAGCAAGGATCGTATCCACGGGGAGAAGTAACCTAAATCTATTAACTATGTGATCAAAGAAGGGGTTTTTGAATTAACGATCTAATTAAACTAGAAATTACCTATCAAACTAAGAAATAAATAAAACAAAACTCAATAAACAAAAATAAATATAATATGAATATGCCTTGGTTGAATTGATTTTCACCCTAGACTGTTTCACTGATCATTGATGCAAAAATATAAACTCACAATCCACGCAACTGTCGTTGAATACAAATTCTATCTTCTAATTTAATCACGCAAAATAAATCCTTCTACGAGACTCTTATGACTAGTTAATTCCCAACATCGTGAAGATTTATTCTAGCAATAGCATTAAATACAAGAGATCGACAGTCCAAGCAACAAATAACTAATCCGTTAAATATTAACTTGTTCAATTATTTCGCCAAAGAACGACAACGCCTAAATCCGGTCAATTATCTATCTTAGTTGCTTCTAATGAAAGACACATGATCTAAATCCGACTCAAGTATCAATCAAGCAATAGATCGTACGCATAGAATAATAGGTGGCCAATCCATCAACTACACATATCAATCATAAAAATATGCACACGAAACATTGATGCGAAAAATATATGAATTGGAATAAAAACTAATTCGATCTCACAGTAGTAGGTCTGGGGTTTCGATCGTCTTCAACCAAGACAAAGATAAATTAGCCGCGCAGGGCTATCATAATCCAAGAGAAAAGAAAAAGAAAAATAATAATAAAGATAGAGTGAATAAGAGCAGCCCTCTGATCCGCCGCCTCTGCTACTTGCGTCCTTCTGCTCCCCCCACCCCAGCAGATCTATTCTCCTTGCTGTTACGTATGATGTAGGTTTAGTAATCTATTGGGCTTAATTAATTTGGGCCCAGTTGAGAAGTTTGTTCCAGAATTACACCAACATGGCCATGTCACAGTATCAAGGCAAAACCAACACTACCATGTTAGTTGTATTTAATCTTGTAGTCAGAAGCTTAGCCTGATATGCTACGGCAGGACCTCTTAGCAATCCCTACTGATTCCTTGTTCAGCCTCATCCATAATTTAATATGCTTAAGGACCTTCAAACTGCATAAAAACACAAACAACGATAGTCTCTGCTCGAAAATGCAAGATAATGTCAAACATATATCTATTGAACTCAAATGTTAAATATAAATCATAAATTAATCCACTAAACCGACACATATTTTTGACTTATCAAACATCCCCAAGCTTAAACCGATGCTTGTCCTCAAGTATCAAATCAAATCCATCATCTCACCTCATAGTCATCATCTATCTTCTAATGCCAACTCAAAAATATTTTGCATGCAATGAACAAAAGTTAAAGCCAAGTCCTCATCAACCGACACCAATAAAAATAAACTCAACAATCACATAACTTAAAACACATGAAATCAACACTTCTCACGAGATTCACTCTTGCACTCAAAAGTGTATTGGCTAGATATTAAGTTTACACTCAGGTCAAGACATTTAAGATTTTTACCATATGCTTGCAAAGATATCATGTCCAACCACCCAAAATGAATATGAACACAAACACAAAATCAAAGGGTTAAAAATGGGTTGTAATGGGGCATAGGGTAAGGTGGGAGAAGAAATACATCGGCTAATAGAATAGAAGCAATCATCAAACTCTTCATAAATCGAGCTTAACCAAAATGTAAAACAAGCTGATCATGCGATCACAATATGCATCCAACATAAAAAGCAATCTAACACAATGCTCTTTCAGCTTTTTTTTTTCTTTTTTTTTTCAATTTTTTTTATTCAGATTTTTTTATTTTTCCGTTTTTTTTTTCTTTTTTTTTTTCTTGGGAGAAGAGAAGATGAACTAGTAGATGTTGGATAGAGAAACTATATACAACGCACGATAAAATATAAGAACATAAGACCATAAGCTCTTATTCAACTAAAATAAATTCATAAAAATGCTTCGATTCAATGTTCAAAAGATGGTAAAAAAAAAGAATATTACGACTTGTAGTGTGGTTATAAATCAAAGAAAAGGCTATGGCACAAAGGGGCTTACTAGTGGTTTTGAAAAGGGTAAGCTTCAAAAGAGAGGCTATAAAGATAAAAGGTTAGTCCTAAGTACCCTTATTTTGATTTCATGCATCCATTTTCATCAAAGGTATAAACATAGACATGCTTAGCAAAGCAAGTTCTAGAAAAACCAACTAGTCGAGACATCACACACTCAAGAAAATAGAGCATGATATTCAATATATGCTCATATATAGGCTCAAATCTCACTAATAAGAGGGTAATAAGTGTTAATCTCATGCATTCGTCCATCAAGTGATCATCAAGAGAAATTATTCACCGTGCAGTAACAAGGACTCCAAATTATTTTTGCACACATAAGAAATCACGTTTGACGAATTGGCACCAGTCGAATCAATAATCACCACAAGAGAGATAACAAATACGACTCAATACTATTAGACATCAATCACTCATGCAGTGACTGCTCTACTTCTATTAGAACCAAACTAAACATTTTAAATAAAACCTAAATGCAACCTACATGGATACTAATGCAACTATACTATATAATCGGTACCAAGCATAACACACATACATCCCCAAGCTTAAGTCCTTAAAATATATCATAATGAATGCAGAAACATGAAGAGTATATATATATGCTAGGTAGAGAAACTCACAAATTTATTCGCCAAGGAGGTTTTGGGATGGGTCTTAGAGATGCTATGAGCGCTCTTATTCGTCCAAGAAACCCATAAAGTTCATATACTTCATTCTTCCTAGCGACACCAGACTGCATTTTTAGAGGCTTACCGTTGAACCTTAACTTCCCACGTTCTCCATAAAAGATGCATCTGATGTGGTCGAGCATGGGTCTTAATTCTCCCAAACATGCCATGAGTCCACCTTCTTTTGTAGGCCAGAAAACATCCTCGTATCTTCGAAATGTTCCATATATGTATCTGGTGTACCCATCATTCGTATAGGGAAAAGAAGCAAAGAGATAAGAAGGTACCAGCTTATACTCGGGATAACATGAGACATCTTTTTTCCTTCGCGTTCTTGTCAGCCTCAAATTCTGCACTCATATCAGCAACATCACAAT